TCAACACAATTACAAGTTATTTTATCAGTCACCCATTTATAACTGTTTTTTCATGGGTTTTATCATTTATGGCAATAATAATATAGTAAAAGTATTATATACATAGTAATATGTTAAATTTCATGACAATTATATATAAATATATACATAAATTTTGTGGAAAAAGCAATAAAAAGCTTAATTAAGTTTATTTCATTGAAATCAGAACGATTCAAAACGTATTTATAAAATACAATTTTCTTTCTATCACACTCCCATCAAAAAATTCATTTGCTACAAATTCAAAACCCTACTGATATCTATTGGCACATATTGTTACTTGAAACTGGGTTCGCAAAATACAACATAAAAACATACCATCAATGATTATGAGATTAAAGCAACAGTGAGTGAGTTTCCTACCTAAAACTTCTCTTAATGATTAATTTATGTTCGTACAGAGAGGATCACTCGAAATTTTAATCAAGTGTTTAAAATTAGTCTTGAAATTTCCAGGAGAAAAAATACCTTATACATCCAATACATATTTCCTTTAAAATTAATAGACGACTGGCTTAAATTAAAAGACAAGTTTAGTAATTAGAAAACTATGAAGGCATGTTACCATAGTATAATACGTTTTTCACGACCACCCGTACGCACGTGTGTAAATTATTACCGAGTAAAACTTGTTAGATGCATCGAAGGTTCAAAGTTGTACACTAATGTTACTATAATATATACAAGTACACTTGCACAAATGCGATCCTAAAAATGCAATAAAAAAAAAAATTAGAATGTTATGATTAAAAAAAAAATCTGAAGATTCCTTTACGACTCCATTAAATCTCATATTATACTTAGATTAGAAAATCTTTTCCTGAAATTAAATAGTTAATATGACGGTAAATCTTGACATCATGTTTATAACTAGTACAAAATGTCATATATTATTGTTGGTTATTTTTTTTCTACGATCTAATGCATGAGCTCGATGCAAGAAGAAACTATAATTTTGTTTATGCAATTCTATTACTACACAAGTGTAAAAATTGTATACATAAATGATGTGTTATATTTTAAGTGTTATACGGTTTTGGTTAGGCCAGATAGGTAAAAAAAAACGCGATTACCTTCAATTCGAGCATTCTCGAATTATTCGATATTCGAAATCAATTGACAAGACTGACATTTTCAGGAGAAAATATAACGATCATTCGACTTCGTTAACAATTAGTTTTCCGATGACTAAAATTTTTTATTACGATTGTGGAATTTATTGTTCGCAAGCAGCAAGATAGTGTTCTATCAGTATCCACGAATATTCAATGGCCTCTTTAGACATTTCGAGCATCGACTTTGACGGCCCTTTTGTTGTTGCCCGAAGTAGGTACTGTTGTGTCAACGACAGTGGTGATGGCCGGCTCTTTATCGAGTCCAACAAATACCAACAAAATCACTAAATACCCCGTTACCCAAAAGTTCGTTTTCAGAGATATATTTTTTCCAATTGTTATCCAACAGTAATGATTACAATGATTACAAGCTGTATATAATCTACAGGAAAGTATCATACGGTCCCACATTTATGACATGGAGGCATCATAGATGTGAAAACCTCGAGTGTATGTGCGACATGGGTGTATGAGTTATGAACCCTCCGTCCTGCGTACTGGACGCTGACGCGCAATCACTGGGAAACCGCGACTCATCGTTTCAGTAACGATTTTACACCTGTGTAGTGAAAGCATTGTACGTTTGAGTTGGGATAACGACTCACTGTGCCATCCGTTTCGTCGAAATCAAAAGGCAATGATCCATATAATATGATCTAAATTTCAAGTTTATCGTATTGGGAAGATCCTTCAATTTTACAATCGAATCATATAATTTTATGTTTGACTTTTTGATAAAAAAAACGTGTACAATTTTTACTGTCGTACTAAAAAATTTAACTTTCAATCATATTTTACTCGAAAGAAACTGAATCTGATGAAATACGAGTGTAAGATTTTTTTATTTTTAAGTTGTGAATAATGTGGTTATAATCAAGTAAATCTTTGATTACAAGAACATCGTGATATACAATTTTATAAAAATCGGTTTCCACGTATCGCTCTCGCGTATTCCGTTCAATTTTCTGTAAAATGTTTTTTTAGACACTATTCCTTTCATATTGCTTCTTATAAATTATCATTATTTCTTTACGTCGTTTTCTCCGATTGTTTTATTTGTTTCGTATAAAAGTTATGAAACTCTTTTCGTGTTCGATGTGGGATTCATCAAACAAAAACACACACGTTTTAGACTCGTAATGAAAACATCTGCCGTTTCTATCTTCTTCTGTACTCGTGGAACGGTGGTATAACTGCACTGTATATTAAATATTAAACCGATACCACCGCTGCAGTAGTAAGTACCCGGTTGAATACTATTATTCATTCCAAGCAGATCGTTTTAAAACTCGTATCAATCAACTTGTGAACAAACCATCGTCGTCCACGTGAATAGGTATGTACATCTACACCATTATCACTTTATAACCATTAGGAGCACAATAGAACAATAAGTTACATTTACATCGTTAAGATGTGTACGACGTATTTATCCGACTGTTCCTCCCCACTTGCGATGACGTTTCTAATCTTGTCTCATAGTAACTAAAACCCAACTCGTATAAATATTAAATTCAGTCACTAATACTTACAATGCGCCATGAAAATTCGGCAAGGTGAATAATAAAAGAACTAAGAAGATTTCTTTCCAAACGTAAACTTCGCAACGTTATAACGTTTCTCCGGTCATCTGTAATGGTATGCGATGGATACTCGGTAATCGGTATGTGCAGTACACTGCAAGTCAGTATGCTCGCTAAAAAGTTTATGATAATAATACATTATTCGCACAGAGTCCGTCAGAGAAAATGTTTTTTTACTATTCTACAGCGTTAGAAAAACTGAAAAAGAAGTGAAATCTGCTTGACGAAATCCTGCGATGCATAATAAGCATGCGACTTTATAAAGAAACCAAGACGCAAAATGTTTGTCATTTTAAAACACCATTACAGTATAATGTAGTAGGTAAATAATAATAGTTAAGTTAGTGTATACATATAAAAAAATAATCTCTTTGATAAAAAATATTTTCGAAATATTTTATGTAAAAACATCCCGAGGTGGTAAATAAAATGGGAAAGGAAGTAAACAACAATGCGCAGCGGTTAACAATCATTTTTCGTTTACTCACAAATATAATATATATTAAATAATATATAATATATATACACAATATTTTTCAGCAAAATTTACATAAACAAAATACATAATATATTAAATAAAATAACAATAATTTAAACTTAATTAATATTCTATTGCTTTTATAATTATACACTTACGTGTAAATGTTAAGTCAAAAATTATGTAGGAATTTTTTTATTATCTTTTGTTTTTTTTTTTTTTTTTTTTGGGCAATTTGTTTTCAATTAAAAATTTCAATCTATAATATTCTATAAAAATTGACTAATCATTATCTTGTTCATAAATCATAATACACAATGAACTAATAATGCTATGAAGTAAATTGTTATTATATGATAATTAACAATAATTTACACATAATAAAAATTTTATACAACAATCAGTGAGTACCAATTGGTACGAAATAATCATAATATTGTACATGATGCAAAAACTATTTCATTTCATTTGATATTAATTTCCTATTCATATTTTGCTATATAGTATATTTGTTTAGTTTTTGGAATGTTGAAAATAATTTTAACTATTTATCAAAAAGGGAAATACACAATGATCGATAATTTTTTCTTTTAACTAAATATTGTTGATTTAACAAACGTGATGCGAAAATGAACTAATTTATTGTTTTATAAATAACTAGGCATGGACTATAATATAAAATAAGTAAAGAGCACCATATTTATGTACAAAAGAAAAAAAACAAAAAAAACAATAAAATAAGTAATAGTAGTAAAAATAATAACAGAACAGATTAAATATGTTACGTATACAATTGTTCTTATCAAAATATGTCTATGAAGGAAGCATAAAAGGAAAATGGTAAGAGTTACAAATGTTGTACATGACATAGCTATAAGATATTGAGAAACATTAATGGTTAATAAATATAATATATGTATAATACATTGGAGAGAAAGATATTTAATACTACAAAAAAAATAAAATTATTATATTTAATAATAATTCTGTTTTCGCCCGGTACGACGCACAGCCCATTGAGGTAATTTACGACACTAGGTATGCCGTATGTCGTTTCACAAGCGCTCACTATACATTACTATTTTAATAACTATTCAGCACCGGATTATTGGTTAAGCGAACATTATAAATTATTATATTGTTTTTTACCGCTTGCTTTTGTCATTTTTACTCCTTATTTAAAAATAAATAAAAATATAATTTAACTATGAAATTAGTAATACTTAATAATAGTTTAAAAAAAATAGTTTAATATAAACATTATTATAATATGTACATGATAATTATTACAAATAAAATATTTTATTGAAAATAATGCTTCTGTTTGTTCACTGAACACTACACATTAAGCCGGACGTATATATTTAATTCTTTTAAATAAAAATTAAGGAATGTCAACCACATAAAATGGATTTAATGGGTTTTTTTTTTTATTATTTTATTCTCAGTTTGAGAAAAATAAATAATAATAAAATTTTGAGCAATGAATAAAAGAAAAATTAAATATAATTTAATAATTTCTATAAATATTTTTTCTTAAGTACACGACCCTGATATATAAATGAGCATAATTATTTTTCATCAGTTGAATTTGATTTTTATATTATATATAAATTTATATATTGGTTACCATAACCAAAAATGATCTTATAGTAAATAATATAATTGAACACTTAATTTATGTAAAATATATTGGCATAGGATTGGAGAGTATGAGAAAAGATGAAATGAAAAAAAGACGAAAGGGAATGGTGAATTCGATATGCACACACATACATTCATCCATATACATATATATATATATATTATATGTATTAATTATACTATATACGGTGGTCAAATAATTATACACGCAAAATCACGTTGCAAAGTCTATCCTATCCCACAAGAAATCCATATTGGCAGGTAGTTTGAAATCATTGTCAGAAGCTTCTCCGTTAAATAAATCAGCCAGTGGTTCCGCGGACGGGGGAGGTAGGTCCAACGAATCTAACCAATCAGTATCAACGTCCATCAGATCGTCATTACACACGACATCCATAGCAAATGGATCATCCATCTGTATATCAAAATCGCTGACTGAGTTATCGCCCTCGGTTGTCGTAACTCCAGAAGTCTGATCATGAGCCGCGGACGCTGGCAGTTCTCCATTTCTGATCAATATCTCCAAAACATCGTCCATCATTTGACTTTTGGATACGTTGTGTCTGCACGGGTCGACGAGATTATCCTGCAAACCGAAATCGATTAGATCAATATAAAAACAACGGATTAAAATGTATATGGTACAAAACGCGTTGTTGTGAATTTAAATTGACACCGATATTAATCGGAAGGAAGAAATTGTCAATATTTGATTATTTTATGAACTAAAATATCCATACGGTTGACTGAAATTTAAGTACGCTTTTGTTCGAAAATCCGCTGATACTACTTCTTCTACTACTTCAAATACTAAGGCCAATACTACAATTATTTACTACAGTTACTCACGTTTTGAAATAATTTCGAGTCATCAAACACCATTGGTAGATTGTTAATATCGATGAAAGACGATGGTGATGGAGGTGGCGTTTTTACTTCTTCCTTCTTAATTCGATTGTTGTTTTCTATCGAATCTGAATGTTGACTTTCCGAGGATGATTTATCCATGCTATCCAATAGCTGTGATGTTAAATTTACGCTAGTTTTCTCTTGCTGCTGTTTCTGTTGTAGTTTCACGTCGTCTACGGCCATAGGAATGTCGACGTCATCGTCGTCTAATACTTTGTGAAATCCGGTGGTGGTTTGGACGACCGTAATCATCGGCTTATTATTATTGTTATTAATGATGTGATTGTTGTTCGTAATGGTCAAATTGGGTTGAACAAACGTACCCAAAAAGTTCGGAAGAGAATTCGTTCTGCAATAGATTTATGAATACAAATTATAAAAAAAAAAAAAAAAAAATATAAATATTTTGATCGGCAATATCGTTGACACATACCTTTGACCGTTATTGTCCAACTGGTTCAAAATCGATGCGGCCTGTTCCTTGTCCAACACGATCGTATTGCTTCGGCGTTTAGGCGTCTCAAGATTGTTATTGTTATTGATTTTTATTGAATTGTTACTATTTGTCGTTACAGTCACGTGTTTTTGTTGTTTTTGCTGTTGATTCAACTGTTGTTGTTGCAGGAAGGCTGCCAGATTTGCTTTCGCATTCACCGGCTGATGAGGCTAAAACATTTTTGAATAATTTTAATGTGAAAACGATATAATTAGGTGCGCAAAATCGTTTACACGGAAAACACAGATTTTGGTCAAGAATTTGGAGTTTTGTTGAATTATACCTGGAATGTTTGTGCCCTGGTCTGCTGTTGTTGTTGCAGCTGCAGTTGAGAATTGAGCAATTGTTTCTGTAACTGTTCTATGCGCCTTTGTTGTTCACGTATAATGCGGTCTTCTTCGGGTGTATTTTGAGATCCCGTTTGCGGCAAGGGTGGTGGCGGAGGCGGTGGTGGTGGAGGTGGCGGAGTGGACGACGACCGCGGAGGACTGTTTGGATTTGATTGACTACTAGGCGACGACATTATGTTGGACAAATCCGAATTGTGTTCAGCATAAGATCGTAGCCTTTCGATAAGTTGAGGTTTCGGCCCCGACACGGGAAGGTTACGTTTCTTCAGTTCAGCCTTTAAGTCGCTTACTGAAATGAAAACCCGATTACAATATAATCAGAGAAAACATAAACGGTGCTTATATTTTAATTTTATACGTCAAAAACAATGTAAATATAAGAAATAAAAATCATATAAATACATTTACTGAAAATCTATAAATGATTATATAAACTAGTATATATTAGTATAATAATTATGCTAACCCTTCAAATCGTCGAGATTGCGTAACGAACGAGTTTCGATAATCTGCGGTTGATTGTTGATGGTCAGGACGGATGTCGTGGACGACGCGGACGACGGTGAGGACGATGACGACGACGACGACACAGTAGACGATTGTTGTTCCACAACAGATGCGGTCGGCTTATGCGGCGGGGCAGGCAGTATGAGTTGAGGATACTGTCGGCAGAAAAAAAAATCACCCAATTATTAACAACAGTATAATACAGGTGACACTACATCGAGTAGAACTACTAACTTTTTGTTGCCACTCGAGTTGCCACTGCAAGAATAACTGTTGCTGCTGCAAGAGCAACTCGTACGAAGTTTCGGCCGAATTGGCATTTTGATTTTGTGACTTGTGCGCGCTCGGCGGTCCCTTGTACTCGTGGAACTTGATTGTCCTGGTCTTGGCCTGAGATTTGCTCTTGCTCTTCTTCCGGTTCTTGTCCTTGCCAGGCGCCGGCTGTTGGCCGTGCACCTGTAGCGGCAGTGACGACGACGGCATAGGGGGTGGCACCGGGGGCGGTGGTGAGGCCACCGAACTCATCGGTGACAGACTGGACGTAGATGAGCCCAGAGGCGAAGGTAGTAGGGTTAATGTGACGATACCTGCGTTTGCGGCGGCCGTTTCTATCATGTCATACGCTGGTCTATGGGTCAGCGCCACCGTCGTCAGTGGTGGCGGTGGGGGCGGTGGTGGAGGCGGTGGAGGCGAACACGAACTTCCGGCGCCACCTGAACTCTGCGAGTCTTCGTCCAGCGTCAGATACTGATCGGGAAGCTCGGGTTTGACCTTTTGTCCTTCGCTGGTGGCTTTGAACTCAATCTGACCCTCTGTAAAACGAATGAGCAGACACTAAAGCATAGGAGAAACGCATTCGGTCGCCAAACTCTATGACAGCCATATTTGGTGAGAGCGAATCTTTAAGTAAACCTAGGAAATTTCATTAAAGCACGTATGTCCGCGTGCATCATATAAAAGTATTATAAAATTTAAAACCTAATTAAAATTTTTGCGGTCATATTAAAAAATGTTTATGACAAATTTTATCATAATAAACGAAGAAAAAAACTACAAAAAATAAAAAACTACAGTAGTAACATTGATTAAAGATACATAGATAGTCCACGGTATAGGAAAATATGGAAACCTATTAATAAGCAAAATCAGACAATAGATAGCGTTAGTGTCAAAATTGAAGAAATAATTATTATATATCGAATTTAGATAGGCAGAGAATAACGTGGGGGAATCAAATCGTCCGATAGTTCAGGAAACCTGTTTGAGTAAAAATAATCCGAGATAAGAAAATATATCCAATTTATAATTGTTTTATACAAATAAAATATAATTCTGTTTAACCACTTATAAAGTGAAGTGGTCTGTATCTCAAAACAAATGTTATATTATTAAATTATTGAATTAAACATTTTCAAGGAGGTAATTATCATAATTGTATCATTTAAATTTTGTTTTAAAACCTTTTAACCATTTTCCTCATTGTTTTAAATAATTAAATTCCAACTATTCCGATGATATATATTCCAATTACAAACCCAATCTAATATAATATAAACCAAAATCTGTAGACAGTTACAATTTTATCAACGCTCGTATGTCATATAAACTGGAGTTCATCGAATCCACCGAATATTTTTATATATCAATTCCGCCGATGATTTATTTATGTATATAAGAATATAACATATACATTATAATATTAAAACATTTTCAGATTATGTAAATACATAATATTGTTTCCAGCAGATTTTCTACTAAATACTGACACAGTAAATAATATTTTATTCTACTCTACAAATTCTAATTTAAAATTGCTATGCTCTAGTGACAAAATATTTGTAGATGGTACATTTTATGGGTGTCCGAAATATTTCTATTAACTGTTTACGAAATTGATATATAAAAATATTCGGTAAAATCGATAGGTTTCTTACAGGTAAAAAGACCTTTTCGGCGGAGTCGATATACGTCTATATAAACCATATAACAATAATTGACAAACAGACGTATACGTATAACAATGGTTAAAATTGATTATATTTTATCAGAAATGTATCAACATTGATCACGGATAACAATAAATTGGAGATTACAAATGTTTATATGGAACGCCAGCGCATTCTATTATCAGGAATCCATTACTACCACAATTCTGCTCCATTTGAGACATTTTAGGCGTTTCCAATATTTGTCATTGCGTGGGCTATCTATGTATATTTAATCAATGGTAATAACATGTCGTTTAGCAAATTGATGATTAAAGTAATTTTGATGGATGATCGTTTTTTTTTTCCTTCGACTTTCAAAGTGAAGGCACAAGCTTTTGGATGAAGCGTAAGGGTCGGTAGTTATAGTGTTTCTATAAACCCTTTGATATATATATTGAATGACAAATTAGTACACATACCTTTGACGGCTCTTTCGATAGGCTCGTCCGTGTGTAATATATTCTTTTTAATCAGTTCCAACGGACCGGGCCTGTGTGCTAATTGGGTGTTTAACGAATCGGCCAAGCGGCACTTGACCAACATGCGCTGACGTTCAGCTAATGATCGGTCAACGTCACCGACGTCCTCTAATATGTGCTGTCTAACCAGCTGCTGTTTGTCGGGCCTCTGTTGAATTTTGGCTTTCAACAGATCGCCCATTTTAGCCCTCTCCAACTTTTGTCTTTGTTCATGGAAGGCTGGTGGGCTTTTCAAACCTGAAATATACCAAGGGGTTATTAGCAAGGAATATAATGCTTCGTAATACAATAGTACTTATATAATAATATATTAAACACAACCCATATCGAATGTAAGACGAGGTAAAATAACGATACTAGTGCAATATTTGCAGTCGGTCCAATAATACATTTAAAACAAAAACCACCCTAAGAAATATTCCTTTTACTACAATGAAACAACGCACTCTTATGTGTAAAAAATTGAATTTAATAAGGGTGGTCCCACTGTGCAATCGATGTTTTAAAACATCCTAAAAAAGTAAATTTTAAGTCACATTTCTAACATAATTTTTAGATGCTACATTTATTTTACACATTTGTTAAAAAGAAAAAAGTTAAAAAGTTTGGTAAATTAACATTTACTGAAAGTTTGTTATTCAAAAAAATTATATATATCAAATTAATTTAATCCTAAAATGTCATAAAATCTTTGATTACTATTGTGTTTAATAATAATGTTAAAATTATATCCTATTTATATTTTCACATTGAATTTAATATATTCTAAAAGTAAATAAATTTAATATCTTATAAATATACATATATCCTAATAAAATCTAATAAAATCCCCATGTCTAAATATCCAGTACCTATATGTTATTTTTGTCTGTTGACGCGCTTATCGGGCAGCACAGTGCGCGACGATCGTCGCCGATAGCCTGTTAAATCGCGTGCGTGCGTATAAATCGTTACGTATATTGATGTTTTTGGACTGATCACTATATATTATTTTATTTTATGCAACTGCAAGGGAGTATTTGTGGGGGGAGGAGACATTCGCCCTTCCCCATATTTCACAATTTTTTTTTAATATAATACATTGATTTATTTAAAAAATGTAATGTATAAATAATCAAGAATATAAATTACTAGTATATCATTATAATATGCTATCATTATAGCAAAAACACGAATTGTAGGTGATGAACATTCGATAGATAAATGGCTGTACTTACAGGGCATAATTCCTTGGGCAACTAATTGGTTAATAGGTCTCCTCAACATCAACTTAACTTTGAGAGCTGAAACAAAAAACAAATCCATAATCAAATTATGACAATGGTATAACATTAATAATAATGTATCCCGTACATACACAATTACGGTTACGTTTGTAAATTAATGAGCATAATGTGTAGTCTCAGGGTGTGTGCATGTACATATGTGTGTGTGTATATGTGTGTATGTATGAGAAGCAAGTAGTTAAAAAAAATTATAATCTCCATCATGCCCGTTATTTTTACGGGCGTACAAGCGAGTTTTTCTATTTCGGTACGACAGGCAGCAGCGGGCTGGCTTAAGAAGACGTTAAGACTGTCGCGGGATATTAATTTGAATGTGCGAGCGAGTGAAAAGAAAAACAGGAAAAAAAATTACATAACACCATACGCACCGCGGAGAGTAAAACGTTGAGATTTTTACGGCGGCAGCGGTGGCGGTGGCAGAATGAATTATACGTGTCATTATGTGGACATTGTGGCAGCGGCGGTTGGACGCCAAAAAATAGAATTTTTTTCCCTCGTCGAACCGATTATAACACAATGTAAAAACTTAGCTTTGGCCGTCACAGTGAAAGAATATTACGGAAAGAATAAAAGAGGCGGTGGTTAAATATGCACATATAATAAATATATCATGTATGCGTATACACACACACACACACACATAAGCAACAACTTTAGGCCATGTGCAGGCCGATGCCAAACAATAAAGTTTGTTTCAATTTTTTCGCAATTCATAGATTGTAATTTTCATCGTCACCGTGTTAGTAGCTTTTTGAACACTAAGTTTTAATATCTTCCTCTTGTAGGTGATACTGTTTGATTCGTCTGAGTCACAATGGTTAAAAAAGCAAACACAAGACCAAAAATAGTATATCCTACAAGTTATTACACAATATCAACAACAATTTCCTAACAACAAAAAAGTTACATTAATGGGATACTTGTATTTACATATTACCATTACCTACCTAATTTTTATTAATTTTCTAGTTATAATTTTAACAACTTTTGTAATCATTTATTTATTTTTTCAGCTTAACATATAATTATGTAATAATAATGTGAACATAGACGTAAGTAAGAAACTTTGAGTGCTTAGAGAAACATATTAATTTTCATAACTTGTACAGTGGAACCTCGATATCTCGGTTTCCGGTATTTCGAAATTTCTGTAAATCGAATTTTTTTTCATCATTCATCAGTATTAGAGTTACGTGTTAAGTTATTCAGGTGCTTACATCGAATTTCCATATGTCGAAGTCATTATACGGTATCCCCGCCTATTACGATTCACTAACTCGAATATATAACAAATTAGATAAAGTATAAAATAAATGACAGTGGTTACTATAATAAAATATCAACGTGTAATAACGTTGTATGGACATTACGTTGATATTTTATTATAGTTAAGCTAGTGATCGACAACAGCGATAAAGTTACACGGTGTTACATTCATGAACTTCGAAGATATGTCCAACAACAGTGAGAAGTTCCTGACATTTTTCCTAAATTTAATAGTTTAACTAGTTTTATTGAAAATACTTCTAATACTAAACAAAAACAAACAAAAATGACAGATTTCTACTTTCATAGAAAATAATGTATACTTACCCAAATTACGAATACTAATAATATGTATACCCAGACGCGTAGCCAGAGGGGGTGTTATAGGTGTAGTAACATCCCTCCCTTCAGCCATGGTATACTTAATATGTTTTATCAATATAAAGATGCATCATAAGCCATGATTTACACTTATTTATCAAAATGAAATATATATTACGATAACAATAATGTAAAGCACTAAATCCGGGACCCGGCATTAATAAGTAATTACTAAGCTTAGGGTATATAGTATACCTATACAATATATAACACATTGTATATTATAAATACATATTTTTCCCAATAATTAAAGATTTTTATTTAAAATTTTATTTATGCTTTAAATTCCTTTAGTAATTCGAAAAATTTTTTTTATCCCTTGCGACTTCGAGATACCAAGGTTTCACTGTATATATTTTATTTCTCAAACCACGAGTAAAATATATTTGAAAAAATCGTTCCCAAAAAAATGAAATGTGTTATATATTTTATTATATTTATTGACAATTGAAAAATGTAGTCATTACTTTTTTTATGTAAAATATAATGTTCTGTATATATTATATATATTTTTAATTTTCTTACATTTATCCGACTCGCAACAAAACAATCCATTGCAATTTTTACTTATCAAAAATGTTTTTTAGATAAATGAAATATTCGATACTTTGTCATTTTTAATAGATAATAAGAGATGTATGAAAAATTGTGTAGATATATTATTTTATTGAAAATATAAATATTTATAACTTAAATGATTAACATCTTTACGACAAATTTAATAGTTTATTGTACTCAAAAAACTACAAACCAATCGTATTTTGCAATTTTTCAACCCTCTCGACGAAGAACGTGAAAGGGCTTAGTAATCCTGACCAAATTTTACTAAAATTTACTTTCTTATCGTAATGAACAAAATAAAGGATTGCGGAATAAAGAGTTCATAAGTTAAAAATCAAGGACCAGCCGGTATCTATACATAAGGCGTATATGATGATAAAACGGCAAAGACTAGAGTAGTAAAAACGGCGAAGAGAGAAGAGAGAGAGAGAGAGAGAGAGTAGTATCCTACAGTCTGTCACAAGCCCCGGGTAAAGACAATATTATTATTACGTGTCCGTCGGCGCGTCCAGATAATATACGGCCCTGCGCGAGAACGGACAAGGTGACACGGTCGATTTAACGGCACGCCGGCGGTCACACATTCGACGACGATGGGGTCAAATCCGACGATCTTATCTACGCCGCCGCCGCAACAGCCATAACCACCCACCCCTCCCCCGACCAGCAGTACACCGCAAGAGCGAAACTATTGTAATTGTCAACGCGTGCAGCGAATTGCTCAATCGCGGCCGTGATTGATTGTAGCCCCACCGTCTTCGTCTTCGTCGTCGTCGTCGTCGTCGGATCGACCGCACGATTAGAAAGGGCCGACGACGACGACGACAAAAAGGGACACTTCACGCATAACATTTAAATACGTAATTACACAACAACGATGCGGTATACGTACAGTGATCATTATTGGTATATATATAGTATATACCAACGATAAACGTCCAGCAACAGATAATTAAATAATATGCAGATGGATATCATCGGTGACGGTCTTGCGAAACGGTTAACATATATTACATAGGACGCGGATATATATACGCACGGATACGCCACATTTGGTATAAATGCATTTTCTTCAAAATTTTACCAAAACATTTCTACACACTTTCTAGTAATGTTTTAATCTTTGAACGAAATTTGTGTATTATAACCGCAATAAAATGTTTTTTCTCTCATGTATTCGGGTAGATTCTGAAAATTTCGAACGATTATCCGTCTTATAAGCCACTGAACTTATTATATCTGTGAGTATAATATGTGTACTCTATTATTTGTGTATACACGTATATATTATTTTAGAGATCGTCGATTTTTTTTTTTTCAATTTTTTCATACATATGCGATGACAATATTATTTATGATCTTTGTATACGTGCGCACCCCGTGTTATTGAACGAAAATTATGGCTTTAATATTAAAATCGTCTAAACCAAAAGAGAAGAAAAAACGTTCGATGTCACGATATTAAAAAATGTTTTCCTGTCAACAACTGTCGACCAACGGTTACAGCGCAATCGCTAAATGTGTCATCATTAGCGTGATTAATTCAATGCCATGCGGCGGCGGTGGCGGCAGCGGTAGCGATAGTTGACACTTGGCCGAAATTGTATGAGCTAAAATTCTTGACAGAAGTACTACGCGATCATCATAATTTTTCCATTTCTCTAGCGGCTGCTTAACATTTTTACCTACATCGAGTATAGAGATAGAACGACGTCATCTGGAGACCTTCGATTTATTTATTTGTAAAATGCGTGAGATTTCACGTGATTAACAAAAAACTGTTATAATTTAATAACATATTAACAATTGATTTCCACTGTCAGACGTTATTTTTTATCGTTACTGATATTATTTATTATGCGAAAATGTACAGAATATGCCAATTTTCTAGAGGTACATGTTTGCACGTGCATTTTACGATCGAAAGACCAAATTTGAAATTTGACTTTAAAATTATTACATGCTGAAAAAATCAAAATGAAAATATTTGATAGACTTTCGATCACTGTTCAAAAATTATTTTAAGCTCAAAATAACTGTTATATTAGAAATATTGTTGAGTTAACATACACCACGTATAAATCATATAAAAATACAAAATTATTATTTCAATTGTCATATTAGCGCTCCTAAATACATAGAACTTTCACTAATATATAAAATTTATCGGATAATTCGTTATATCTAAAAATAAAAAAAATTTCTGGCCAAATGAACGAAAACCTTCGGGTCGCTGGTTGTTGACCCCATCTAAATGGATTATTATACGTTTCTACAAATGTTTTAAATTAAAATATATATATACATATACATTTTTGCTATCGTATTATTTTTAGATTTTTTCACATTACAACCATTTCACTAAATAATTACACGTCTTATTTTTTAAGATAATAAATAATCAACGGACATGTTACTTACATGTACCGACAAGAAAAACACACATGAGTAACACGGATAGCAATAATATAAACGATTTTTGTCTATAATCTACACAAAAAAAAAAAAAATCATATTTAGTAGCCACTATCACGAGGGATGAATTATTAAGAATACCCACAGTTATCATAATCAAAATTTTTAAAACCCAAGTTCTGTTCTAGTGATACAATATATTTGGAAAATCACTGCTAAATTTAACTTAAACAATTAAATATTTAAGGAACAATATTTTGGTGAAATGTACAAGAATAATCAACAAAATATTTTGTTATTAGTAGTAGCGGTATTATATTTATGGTTTAGTATAAGTATTACTAGAAGTAGTAGTAGTATTAGTGTGATAATAG